CTGCTACTGGTATCAAGTGCATGGCTATAGTATGGTAACAAGTGCATTCTTGACATTTTCCAGACCCAATGGCCTCTTCGGTGGTCGCTCCGTCCGGCTCTCGCTTGGCGCGCTTCGGATGGGACGAACGGGACACACGGCGTCCCGCGCCGCGGCGCGGCGGTCGAGACCGTGGCGCGCGGCGCGGGACCGGCGTGGCGGTCTCCGTCGCCGTGGATGGGGCGCCTTCCTGGTGCGGCTCCGCCGATGAGCGTCCGATCGCTCCGTTCGTCGCGTCCTTGTTCCTAGTCGTAAGAATGCTCCTAGTAGCGATGCCAGGAGCCCCTAGTAGCGTCCTTATGCCTAGTAGTATGGCCAGGAGCCCCGTTCGTAGCGTCCTTTTGCTCCCACCGGTTTCGGTTTAAGTGAATGCCTTGACAATGAATTCAATGAGTCCTTCGAGTCCGAGGCTATAGTGCTATAGATATAGTGAAAGAGTCCGTGAAACATCGCATTCGGACCGGCATTCGGAGGAATCCGGGCAGCTTCTGAATATACCGTATACATCCGCATACCATTTATTAGAACAACACACGTATTCAACCATCCAAGGAGCTCTTGTTCAAGGATTTGTGTACAACCACACCACTAGACCAACGGAACACCTGGATCACCGGAGGATGTCCCGACAGATTCCGCGACGGATGTCCCGACGGGCGGACTTCCGAAGCGCCTCATCGACGGCCTTCTTTTGGGCTCCTCGAGATGCAAGTCATGTACATGGAACTCTATCATCTATCACAGTCTGTCCCCCAATTATCATTCTTTACTGGAACATTCTGAAACAACTGTTTGACCATGTTTGTCAGTGGCACCAACTATAGTTTAGAATCCACAATCCTAGCCTTTCTTTCGCGCAGGTCTTCACCACAAGGAGTGCACCCTCTGCGCCTTTGGCCCAGGAGCGTCCCATGGACCAACCAAAGGCCACGCGGGCGCGTTCGGCCACTCTCAGTTGCAGCTGCAAAGCCTGGACTGGACAGGGACGCTCGAAGCACCGAATGGAGACCCTCTGAAACCACTGAGGCGTCAATCCCGGTCTTTTCTGGGTGAAGTCCTTGGGCGTCTTTTCTGAGGTATCCAAGTCACTTGCAATTTGCACAACTGTTGGTGAAGTGATATCTCAATCGATTGACTGTCAACATCCAAAGGGGTCCGATGTCTCATGCGCTATCATACGCTGCTACGCTGCTGTGCTTGAGCACCCACCAGCCGGCGCTTTTGTAAAGCGGGACGCTGGTGAAGAGCACCCTTCAAGTGCAACAGATTCAATCTGTATAAGTCGACACTACTTTAAAGGTCTGACCAGTGTCTAAAACCTGTGGACCATTCTTCCAGCAAGCAAACAATAGCAAACACACCAATAGAACCCAATAGAATAGAATTCATATTACTTAGTTGCAGTCAGTACATTATTGTACATTATGTTTTGTATAATTTGAAAACTGTAAACAAATGCAAACCTCACATACATGCTGAATTGTCAGTGAAAGCCATATTTGTTGATTGAGAAAAGTTGATCCCTCATTCAAGGTTTTCGACACCGACCCCAGCCTATCAAATTCGCTGGATATGTCACTAAAAACACACATGTTCTGTCAAACTCCCCCCACTCTCGCCGTCAGAGACCGCGCTGCCGCGGCAGCGGGCCGCCTCGTTGGAGGTCTGGGTGGGTCGGACGCGAGTTCTGAGCACGCGCAGTTCTGCCCAAAGCACCCGCAGAGAGGCCTGCAGCTGCTTGAGGCACCACTGCGCCGGTTTTTTTGGTGTTTGAGGGAGTAGAATGCTGCACTGATTGGGATAGGAGAAGCTGATGTGTTTTGTTTGAATCCAATGGGTGGTATACTTAGCATGTTAGATGAGTTTTGCTTCGCTGAAGTTCCCATGAACTGAGACTACGCACGACCACGACTCCCAGCTTCGTTTCGTCTTGGTTGCCGGGTTCTGTACTCGCACGCAACCACTGGTGACTGTCATGGTCACACAATGGTCTGTTGTAGGACCCAAGCAAAGGCCCAGTATATTAAGTATATTTAATTGTTACCAAAAAAACACTAACTGTGAATACCATGCTTGTAGTTTGTCAGCAAAAGCGTGATCCTGGAATATCCTGGATAGTTGGAAGGTTGGGAACTCTGAGGATTGTCAAGATTGTCCGTGCAAATTAAACATTTGAGGAAGGTTGCCAGAATGAATGACCGTGCATCACATAACTATGTGTTTACAAGCTTTGATACGGTGGGCTACTCGGCTGTGCTCACTAGAATGGAACAACTTGCGGATCATCATGTGTTGCAATATGATGCACCAGGAGCAATGGATGGTGCTGTGGTTGTTGGTTCACTAGCGTTTGCCTTAGATCTGGGGCATCAACGAATCAACGAGGGAATATTTGCTAGATTGAATTCCCATGTGCTATCTTATTCAGCTATGTCCGCACAAATACTATTGATTTGTACATCATCTTTATTGTTCAAGAGGCTCGCCTCATGCTCAATAGTTTTTGTTAACTCGTGCTCAACTCGTTCTATTTGCACAGTATGATTAAGTCTTACGAATATCACTGAGAATCACATTAAAGCATCAATGCTCAAACCAAATGCCAAAGGATTGTTTGGCCCTACCATTGCCCAGCAAACAGTCATACTAGTAGTATTCAGTATGATTCTAGCAGCATTACTCATATTTTTCTCTCAAGGTTCCTCTTCCCTCTTGGTTGGTCTGTCGTATTGGTAACTGTATAGCTCCTGGTCCTTGTATGCAGCTTGGACCTGCTTGCTGTATACAATACGATCTACATGTTGTTTGTTCTTGATTTGTATGGAAGAGTTCAAAGATTTTGTCCAATGAATTTGGACATCAATCACTCCCTAAAGGCGAAGTGAATCTGACATCTTCTTTGACTCAGCATGGCAACCGAGGACCATGGTCTGGCCTGGCTGACGAGGATCATGGTTATCATGAGAGGGGGGACTTGGAGGGGAGCCTCAAAACATGTTGTTTTACGTCCCCCAGTCCCCCCCAAAAAAGAACACTCAAGGTAAGGGGGTGGCGATGGTCCAGACTTAATCCCTCCTTTGGTGGGCCAAAGAGTGTCAAACAGTGAAACACATCGAAACCCCAAAGACTCAAACCCTCACATCGAAAAGCGCAACCGGCTGCGCCGACCAAAGGACCCCGACCCAGCTCTCGGCCTCAGCCGTGGGTGTGGCCACCTGGATCTTGGAAAGCAAATCCCGGCAGAGTTTGAGACCTCAACGAGGTCATCCGAAGCAACCGACGAGTCGACGAGCGGCACCCATCATTCCGCGACGAGTCGACGAGCGGCACCAAGAAGCCCTAGGTCCTTTGCCCGGGACATGCGAAGTTTCACAAGTAGATCCCCAACATTGGTGCGCATTGATATATATATATATATTTGTATACTTTTGCTGTCGTCGAAAGCAGCCGTCTACTGTACTCCTTCGGAGCGCTTTTGCTGCACAAAGGAGAGTCCTGTTATCCTTTAATGTTGAGAGGCACGACTT